TCGGTCTATCGACACGTATGATATTATAATTTTTAATTTTATGCTATGCTTATGGTTCAGTTCGTTTTCTGAAAATGACATTATATCTGGTTTTTGATTGTTTAGGCAATCCAGAAGAGTGGCCCTATTGAATTTACGTAAACCCGTTTGATATTAAGATTTTTTATTTTTCGTATTTTTGCAGATTGTTCGTTGATTGTCGCGTTTCTGATTGTAGTGGGCATGGGAACGTACAAGTAATATCATTTGACATGCGAATGGTCAAGAGGATTTATGGAACGCGTTCATTCATAGCTGTTTGTGAGAAAGTCGCCCTTCGCTTCGGCGAAAGTATTACACCTTTATTAGAGTAGAAAGCAGCCTCCAGGTTTAGTTAATTTTGACTTCAACAGCTCATGTGAATATCATAAATTTTTGGCTCATGCCTGTGAGGAATGGCGGCAAGGGACGTGATGCCGCCACGTGATACAACGCGGGCCCGCAGTAGACCCCCCGGCGTTGCCATTTTCCCGAGTGCACTTCGGCACTAGGAGAAGCGCGCAAAATAGAGAGCAGAAATGTCACCGGATTGGTTAACGAGCGAACGAGATCATTAACCAATCAGGATGCCTTATTGACACCTCAAAGCACTTTCCGGGCCTATTGAATTCCTTAGTCTAGTCCGAGCATGGCACTAGGGAACTTCGCGATTAAAGCAACTTGTGCAAATAAAGCCCTAACTTTGGAAACCCAACAAACTAGGAGAAGTATTTTTCAGCTCTCGAGATATCCTAGAGTCATTTTCTTTTCTTTATTTACGTCAGGAGGTCAAGGTCTATCGTTTTGGGAATTATTTCAATTTTTGCAGAATTTTGTCCTTCGTATGTAGGCATATGCTGATTTTAAAGAGGTTTAAGTACTACTTTCATTTCCTCTAATAATATAGGCTGAGTGATTTGGATTATTTGCAGGGGCAATTTCTTAAATGGCTTTTGGATTTGAATTTGAGTCTATATTAGCTGAACTGTTTTGTTTTTTGATATTATGTCATTGAAGTATATGTGACATTCAATATAGTTGTTTATAGATACAATTTTTTTTTCTTTCTCTAATTGTAGCTAGTTCTTCTTTTCGTTAATTTTTTTGTTTTGGTTCTTCTCTTTGGGGCATCTTCTATCAGAGACAAGGTGACCGAGACTTTTACAATTTGCACAATAGCTTTATTTCGATTCCATCCGAGTCTTTAACAAATGTAGAGAGTTCTCATGGATTGCGTTGGATATTGCACTTTACACAGCTATATGCTAGGTTACAATTTGTTGCGACGTGTCCGACACGCTGACACCGTTTGCATTATAGTCTATCAGTTTTTCTAATGCTTTCCCACGACACTAGCGATGGCAACAGAATTTCAATGCGTTTTAAATTTGTCATATTGCTATCAGGAAAAAGTTGGATAACGTTACAGTATCCAAATTAATTTTTTGAAGTTCCTCAAGGACTGCAACATGTTCTCTAATAATATTTATAATATGGGGAGGAGAAGAGTATGTTTAAAAAATGTAAAATTTTATAAACATATCCGTTATTTATGTGTACTGGGTACATACGACATTATTATGTTTTATTACAATTTCTTTACATGTAATCGTGAACATTTCGCACATTTCATACTATATTTGTTACCGTTACTTAGCATATATAACACCTGGACTTCTTTGTGCCCGTAGCTTCTGTGGCTAAGATAATGTGCTTCATATTATGATAATTCATAAAATAATTCTCGAAATGAAGACATATGTGGCCGATTTATTCTTTTCGCTGTCCTACTGAATACTGCTACCTGGAGACGTTGGATCCTCCCACTCAGTCAGCTGTTTATGTTACAGCGATAGGAGTAGGGCCTGTAATGAGTAGATAAGGATTGTCCCACCTTAACGTCAGGCGATGACAACGGTGTATATAAGATCGGGTTCGACTCGAGTGTTTGGCACGGAAAGAACAAATGATAGCGGCAAATCCTTTTGTAGGAATGTCTACAGAATGATTGAGAGAGAAAGCGTGTGTATAGAACGAGATAGATCTGGCTTTAAATAGGCGCGAGGCATATAGGTGGTGTGTAGTCGAGAATAGAGGATTGCGTGTTAGAGTTGAGAAGAATCTAGTGTGATATGTTAATTAAATAAATCTGTTTTATTATTATCAAAAAAAAATTCTTTTATCAATTTTTTGCGTAACAGAGACTACAGACGTTGCCGCTCCTTCGCCACGCGCAAATTTCCAGCCAAGCGTCAGCACTAAACACGCAGTTTCGTTACAGTAGGTAAGGAAGCAGGGTCTCTAGAGACCCCGTTACCATTTCGCGAGGGTTAACGTACAGTGGGTCAGGAGCCTACCAAAACTGGCCAAAATTGAAAAAGTGAGGAGATTTTTGTAAATATTGAATATGTCACGTTCTTGGGGTCGCTAATTCCGAATCCAGGGTCAAAACTTAAAAATTCGAGTCAACAAAATCAGTGTCTGTAGAGACCCAGTTATTGTTTCACGAGGGTTAAGCTACGAACAAGTTATCTTCGTTTGTACGAAAATCTGTCATGGAACTTTCAAATTGATTCCTCCTTGACGGATTCTGAAAGCGATCAGCACCTTTAACTTTCGTATTATTATTTTGTCATTGTCCGGAGTTTGTCCCGTGACAGAGCTGTACTGCTGGGTTTGTTTACCAACTAGTCCGGGTTTTCCAACCGTTCCTTCATGAGAGGTTCTGGCAAGGTCTGGGATTGAGTGGTGACCGTCCAATTTGCGCTTGGGCGACACCTTTATCCATGTGTTGAGATTTCCTTCCTGGTGGCAAGTAACACGTTGGTCTCCTCGACTATGCCTCTTCTTTCACTTTCCTTACTGAGTTGGCCGGAAATGTTGTCAACGGTGTTAGGTTTTCTATTATTTTTGTCAGCTGTTTATTTTGGATTCCTTGATTCTTATTTTGGATTTCTATTATTTTGGATTCGCGCTGTTTACGTTCGGGTTTGTAATCTTCGAGTTTTCTTTGTCGAAAGAGTTAAGGTGTCTATTTTTACGCCTCTTGCAATATTTTCCTGGTTCTTCATACTGGGAGAAAGGTTTAGTATTCTTTTTGTTTTGCGAATTTTGTTTAATTTTGTGTTATGTAGAAGTTACCAGTCACGTGACACACGGTAATAAACCAGCCTCTTGGACATATTCAGCGCGTTCAACTTTTTACTTTGGGCTGCCATTAGAGAGGCCTTTGTATATCATAGGATCCTCGCTTATTTGATGACGGTGATAGGGAACTATTTGTCGGGCTGGTCAATTGATTCACTGGCTAGTACGATACCACCGTGAGGGTGATGAATTGCAGCATCTCACAGGGTTCGGATTTAGGACCAATCCCCGTGACCCCTTGCGTATGACGCAGTGCTGAAGGGGTCCGGCTGTCTGGGAGGCCACGGTCGGTGAAGGACTGCGCAGGCGTAGTGACCCGCGATCAAAATACCAGGTGGGGGTATACCGTACGATTTTCTGAGGTGTTTCTTACACACTATCCTAGTAACTGCATCTTTTTTTATATTTAGCAATGCTCATCTCTTTTGAAACTATTACACAATAAATGTAGACATATTTTGGATATATGTATATCCGCTTCCCATTTTTTTTCAAATATCTCCAAACGTTTTTTTTCCTCTTTTCTTGTAGGTGATTAAAATAAACGGATGTTTCTTGTACAATAAGTGTTATATTGTATTTCGTTCTCGGTTAATGAGCGAATGCCCAAAAGTGCATCTCTTGCAGTCTTATAGGGGATTTCCCCTCTCCGTGGCTTCGTCATCAAGTGCGGATAATCATCGCAGTCGAACACTTATCCCGACGCCCAAGCCTAGCGTATGAACAACTCCATCTGTCTGCCGTCCTTGAACCTCGACAATGTCTTTCTAGAAATTCAACGAAGAGTTTTCTCTAGCCAAAAAACGAACAACATCGATGAAACTTCTCTACATTATTATATATATTTTGTGATAACTAACAGTAATAATTCTGCGACGATCATTGTACTTATGAAGATTTCTCTTTGTGTACCTTCTCTTTGTATTCGCATCACGAGTTACCAGTTTATTGCTGTCACATAACGAATAACTATATGACAGTTCTTATGGTATACTAAATCTATTTTGAAGTACAAGCAATATACTGGCTTTTGTCAACGACCATACCACGTAGAAAACACTGGTTCTCGTCCGATCACCAAAGTTATCTGTTCTTATCAGCTTAATATCTGGTACACTTCCTACTTGGAAGTCAGAATATTAAACTGATTTTTGAGAAAAGGAGGCAATGTAGAGCTTGCTGTTATGCCGCCGTGGCTTGACCTGGCATTGCAATGCCGCTGAGTTCATCAGCCCTGTTTATTAATTGCAAACGTAAAACATCTCGTCATCATCTTTCATATCCATCACTTATTTACACATCATTACGCTAGCAAATGCCTGATCAATCGGTAACTGTACTATGCAAGGCCTTGTCGGGGGCCTTGGCCTGCACTTTGCAAAAGCATTGCCTAACGATGGTCTCTACGAACCAGCTAATAAATGCAGTATGTACAGAACAATGTAATAAAGACTAAATGATAACTAATTATTAATTAAAAACGAATTATTCTGATAAGAAAATTGATGGTGCTCCAACTTCTTTCGTGTTATCAATATCTTCGCTATCTTCACTTATCTTTTTCTTGTTTCTTTTTATTATTCGGTCTGATACGGTTTTTGATCACTGACCTTGCTTTCAAATACTGATACTGCATTAATTATGACTTTTTTTGAATTTTTCTCGAGTCTGAGTTGCATTCATGTTTATTGCTCGATTCGCTTACTCATTATTTTGCGACAGTACCTTGGACTTTGTACTCTATAATAGTATAAGACTGTTATAAAGGATATGCGTCATGTATCTGATATATTGCAGATTAGATTACTTTTCCACTAATTATTTCCTTCTGTTCGGTTAGTTAGTATGCCTGCTACAAGCATCGCGTGTAGATCCTATTTTTCTGTGTGATCGTGTAAGTCAATTTTCGAAATTCCTAGAGCAGGAAGTACTCGATTATTTTTAAAACAGGAGACTGCGAAATAGCGTACATTTCGAACTCATTTTTATCTTCACGTTTCGCTTAAAGATTCACAGATTTCCACTCGATCGAGAGAGACGATACGAAGCAAGAAATGGAGGACTCGGGCATCAGAAAATTGATCCAGATATCAAAATGGCATGACAGCGAGCTGGCGGTGCTACAAGTGAATGATGTGTCACGTTCATATCCTCAATGTTCAACTATCGACGACAGAAACGCACGTATTAATCGGATAGTGTACGGGTTATTAAAGGAGAAACAACGTTACGTGTTCGATAAGATTCATAGCGTATTAGGTAATCCTGCTATATATCCTGCTCTAGAACTGACCACCATCGGGGGATTCTTGCAAACAATAGGCCAGCGACTTCGAACTACTAGTAGAGATATTGGCACGATGGCGATGTTACTAGACGCGCCATCTGGAACCGGGAAAACATGGTTGCTAATGTCTCTGCTGATAACAATGCACAGAAACGATGTCGTGTTTCTGGTGTACCAACGGAACTTGAGGCTCATCGCGGAATCGATACGGGGTATACGTGCTTATACATGCATGAAATATTTAATGGAACTTTTGTGTATGGAATTTTCTGAAGCGAAAAACTATTTTGTGGAAGATATTGCATGTTTGAGCATATTTCAAAAAATTATTAGGACAAAAATCAAATATTCATGTAAATTAATCATCCTTGATGAATACACCGTCGTTTCGCCTTGGTACGTGCTATGGGTGTATTGGATTGCTAAACAAAATGGTGCTTGCGTTCTGTATTGCGGCGATCGGTACGCGCTGAATTCGATGAACAGGTCCAGATTTCATAATGAAAGCAACTACACGATCGTAGAAGCATTGTCCGGTCCCAAATTTTTCGACATGGATCAATTACGAATTCAAGACGAGAATTACGAGAATAAGGTGAATCAATTTAAGGTCATCCTGGAAAGATCAAATGATGATTTGGACATGACCTTGGAGATCAAAAACGAATTATACAGAATCTTTGAGGACTATTTCTCTGTGAACACGGATATGACTGCTACGTACCTGGCAGAGAAACACGAGGATTTATATAGACGTGCCTATGATATATGCGAGTATTACGAAAATAATAGTACCGGGTGCTATAAAAGTCCATATTATTCGGAGGACGAATACGATGACGATATGCGTGAAATTAGCATTGAATTGCTCAAACAGCACAATTTAAGGGAACAGTTTCTAGAATTTCTGCCACTGATCGAAGGCTATACGTATTATTACATAACACCTGAAGGAAATAGATGTCTAGTTAAATATATTGGTAGAAGTGGTAAAGAGATCCTAGTAGAAGACGTAGAAAACGGGTTGAGTATGAATTTAGGCCTGGAGAAGATAACCTCGGATTATTGCGTGTCCGAGGAGTTCAATTGGCTGAAAGATAATTGCGAAGGTGTGCCATACCAATATCCACTTCGTTTAAGATTAAGAACGTATCACAGTCTACAAGGTCACACGACTGAAGACAAGAATAAAGTGGAACTGAATATCGATGTAAAAAGAAGCAACTGTGTTTACGTCGGCTTGTCGCATATTCGAAGGGAATCGCAGTTGGGACGTCTACACACGAACGACTTATTTAATATCAGAAGCCATTGTAATTCTGAGCTTTGTACACCGGTAGAAGAACCATCGCAACCCAAATCGTTATTAGTCAAATTGGCGATGTACCTGAGAAATGTTAGTTGCTCCAGGTTAGAGGAGCTGGTGGAAGAACCCGCAGAGACTGAAAGATTGAGAAATGATATAAACGATTACTTAAGCAACGTGGGAGAAACCCCCCTTGACATAGAAGACGTTGCCTAACAAATTTAAACTTTTGCCTTAATCTGCACACATATGAAATATAACACACGCTGAAGAGCCAAATTGAATCTACGCTACGTTGTTATATGAACAGCCATAAGTTTGTAAGGAACAATCCTACGATAATATTTGTAGGGTCAATACAAATAGCATAGCCTGCACTTTCACATCCCTAGATTTAATTTCTGCTTTATTTCTTAGTATATGGATTATGGGTTCAAATTCCTGTAATTCAAAACGATTACAAGAAATAGAAAATTGTAAAGAGGGTCCATTGACCAACATCTAACGAGCAGTGCCTGTACTAGACCCATCCAAATCATCAGTCCGATAACGTTCTAGCGCTCCGATAGTAGGATTTGCGCCCCGCGAGAAACTCAACCGAATCGCGTTGGGCGACCAACGTGTTAATAGCTTCAAAGACTACGCCTATCTCTCCTACTATCTCACTCGCTCTTGCTATGACTTGCCGATGATCTTCGTCACAGTTTTGGGCCGACAGTGACAGATGATAAAGGTATTTTTCATTCTCAGATAGTGCCAAAAATGACATTTTTTTAACATCGTGCAATGAAGATGAACAGTTGTAAATACGGGCTGTGTACCGATCATTTGATCGCAATTCGTACCGTGTCTTCGGCCTGCGTCTACAGGAAAAGAAGAAAAAGGACAAAGAGGAGAACCCGGACAAAATGCACTGACCGTGGATAAACGAAAACAAAGGGATAAAAGGGGAAGTGTGGCAATAGCTGGGAATTTCTTGCTGTAATTGTGAAAAGAGAACTCAAATGAGAAAGCTATACACGAGTATAATTGTAACGCGTCTTCGCGACTCGTCATTTTGCACGCGTGCTTCCCAATTAGTACGAAAACGAAGGAAAATGTAATAACGAAAGACACTCAACAGGAATCGCAGTTACTTTAATCCTAAGTAATGGGCGTATGCACTATTTCAAAAATGCGCGGTTCTCGAGAGGTCGGATACGTTGAGATTTCTTATTCTGCGTTCGATTCTCATATCTTGTTTCGAAAAGTTATGTCGTTGGGTCGCATACCGTTTTACCAAAATATTAAGCAAGAAAAAGCCAGCAGCAACGGAAACAATGCAACACATTAAATGCAGCACAGAATCTATTAACCTAAAGATGTAAGTGTATGACACACGATAGAGAACAATAAAGAGTACTATACATAAATTAACGGTGCTACGATATTTTGCAATTCTTCACCTGCCATTCCTATTTAAGATTTTCACGGATTATTGTGGATTGTGGAATGATTGTGGAACGGTGGGTAGTATTATTTCTCTTTCTTCAGTTGTCGTTTCTTTCGCTTTTCTTGACATTATTACTTTTTCTTACTTTCGGAAATTTAAGAATGATTGTTGTTAAACATGACAATCGGAGTAAATCTTATTAAACTAAATTTTAAAATGATGATCAGAAATTTTTCAAGCAAATGCGAGTATGCTACATTTATCATCGTATGTCAATACTTTTGTCCACCCATAAAACGTTCAATAAATGTATTTTTGTTATTGTTTCGTGAATCAATGTATTTATATTACTGCTTTTACTATGTAGTAAACTAGAATAGATAATAAATGAATATGTCAAAAAGTTTTTCCTTCAAATCAATTTGTTTAGTAGTTATAAGCACTTGTACCACACAACCATGCTGTGACAATACTTTTGTCCAGCACTGTGTACACATTATAAACAGATGATAATGGGGTGGGGAATGCCAGAAAGACAAAAAGACAATCACGAAGAGACGATTAGTCAGAAAAAGTCACGGAAATGTTAAAGATTTACTTCAGCAGAGGTAATTTAGTTTTTACAATATATTAATTGTCATTAATAATTTAACTTTTAACATTGCCAGTCTCGTCACCGATGTCGACCAGACGAAAAGGCGTTGTTAGTCCCTAGAATCCATGCCGTCCAAACGAAAAGTCTACTTTTCTACTTGTTCCCAGGGACTGACGTAGCACTCAACGTGTTAGCTCTTTGCATTCGACCATTTTTCGGTTAGAGAAGAGTGAAAAATCAAAAATTCTCTACCAAAAGACTGACGACACTTTTTTTGAGCAGTAAATGGAGAATTGTAGAATTACTTGACTTCGATACTTCGCACACTGTTACATTACATTAAATTTAGTATATTAATTAATATCGATCTTGCAAATTTTATGAAATGGTGACTGAAGCTCACTTCTCGACTGCACAGGGTTAAGTGCTCAGTCCGTTTTGCTTGTCGTTCCGTTCAGACCGAGACTTGGCCGTCAAGTGGGCCCACCGGAGGCGGCCGAAGTGCTCATAAAACTCGGAGATACTGTACCAATTGTTATAACAGGAATTCCCAAACGTTAGGTCCAAAGATGGCGAAGAATTTAACACCAAAAGTTAGCACCTTTTGGACCTAGTTTGGACCATTCCCTGAGGACCGGACGGGCACTAACGGAAAGTCTAGCGACGGTCTCTGGGAACCGGCCTGACACTTAACGTGTCAAAATATAATTATTACTTGGTACTGTTACTTGGCTAGTCTAATTCTGTGACTCTAACACAACGTTAATGCTAAACATTCTGCCTACTCTACGTACTTTGACTCTGACACTGACTCTGACGCTCCGACCATAAACTCTAACTCCTCACACACTGCACTCTGCACACTGCACACTCACACTGACTCTGACGCTCTGACTATAAACTTTAACTCTTCACACACTCTACACTCTGCACTGGCTCGCTACAGTCTCTCTTCTTTCATACACAGGCTTCCTTTCTCGATTACTCATTTTCAACACGACCTCATCCTCGGTGGGCCAGGTACTTCAAACACTCAAATTCCTAAACTTTCCCTCGTTTCTCGCACTCGATACAGGCATAAATATCACGTCCATACTAATCCCTGCGCGCAGTTATTTGTCCTTCCACAATCACTCCAAATATCACTCTAAACGTTGGCACGAAACCGAGGTCTCTGTGTATTATCCTTGATTTTCGAAGAAGTCCCAAGTGTTCCCATGCACTCACTCACGAACCCTAAAAATATCCCACATTTTCTAAGACACCATATAATTGTCCCTTAGATTAAATAAACACGTTTGTCCCATATGTGGAGCAGCTGTCAATCGTAAGGGAAATATGAATATACATCTTAATCGTCATAATAATGGAAACAATACTGTAGAATAATGCTATCTTCAGGAACAATTACAACAGGGATTAAATATTTATATTGTAGAGATATGGGTGGTGGTTAAATAATACTAACTATTTATTAGTAATAAAATAATAATACAATATGTGGTGACGATTAAGCCTACGAATATACATATATCAACTACAACTACAGCTTAACAACACAATTACAACTCGGCTGTTTCAACTAAAGTACAACTCTCTTCCAATCACTCTTCCCAAGAACTGTTCCTAAAAACTCTACACAAGAACTGTCCGCTTCACGCCTATGCATCCTTATTTAAAATCATACACTCTATCTTCTTTCATACCCATGCTCTTTTTCCCAATCACGCTTTTCACACGCACTCCTTACAGCCTTGCACTCAGCGGATGTTACGCGAAAAATTGACAAAAGAATTTCTTTTTTAATAATAAAACGGGTTTATTTAATTAACATATCACACTAGAATCTTCTCAACTTAAACACGCAATCCTCTATTTTCGATTATACACCACCTATATGCCTCGCGCCTATTTAAAGCCAGATATATCTCGTTCTATACACACGCTTTCTCTCTCAATCATTCTACAGACATTCCTACAAAAGAATTTGCAGCTATCATTTGTTCTTTCCGTGCCAAACACTCGAGTCGAACCCGATTTTATATACACCGTTGTCATCGCCTGACGTTAAGGTGGGACAATCCTTATCTACTCATTACAACTGATACATCCATAAACATCCTGTCCACACGATCCTAGCGCACGATCATTCGTCCTTCCGCACGCACTCCAGATAACATGCTCGAGCCAAACCCAAGCTTATTATCCTGCGATACCACGATATGTTCCTTTCTTAATCGAAGGAATAACGGGTCTGCGAGAACGATTTGAGACAACGAAAACGGATAGGACAATATGAACGGAATAATACAAACACTAAACTCGGAAAACTAATTTAACGCAAGAAAAGAACACTAAAATAACGTAACTATAACACACGGAAATACGATCTAATTCAACTCTCTCCAATACCGAACGACTCACGCCAGTACCGGTCACAATCTTTTTCTACGAGGACTCTTCAACGCTTCTTCAGTCAGGATTCTGCCTGTGTCGTCAAGGGATCTGCTTTTATGCTTTTCGCAAAGTTCAATGGCGTGCTTTTTCCAATCTCTAATTGGCCGATATGATTCAGCCTAATAGCGATTTGTTTCCATAAAGGTTCGTCACTTTCCATATTCGCCCCTCGTGACGATTACGATTTCGTTGACCTACGTTTCACCTCTCCGTAGAGACCGTGCAACTTAGCTTTGCTATCAAAAATAGCCGTTTATAACAGTATCGGTTTCGATTTGCTTCTAGAAAAATGTCACGCATAGATCATTGACCGGTTTATAATTTGTCTCTCTAAAATAAGAAATCCCGAATCGGTATTTCTTTCCCGAAATAGTAACCTACAATACATACGTTTAGGATCGTGTTGGCAGGGATCGATTAGAATAACATGGCGAATTTATAATAGAACAAAATAAGCCTTTGTGGGGATGTTTAGCTTTTAAGTTAGTATGAATGGGAGGTGATGCGTGGTGACGAGTGAATGTGGATGGATGGTAGAACTGGAAAACAAAAGAAGCGCGAAGAACAAATGAGTGTGTGTCCGACCATGTGGTGCGTGAATGTCCCTTTGCCGAGTGAGAATGTGCAATGAACAATAATCTAGAAATGTAGAGAGAATCCTTGTAATAATTAATATTATTAATAAATAGTTTGATAAGTGACTCTAACAACTTTCTTACAATTGACCCCTGCACTTGACTTCAACGACTTATAACTGACTTTAGACTGATTCACACGCACTTAAAATACCCTTATTGTAGCTTTATTCGTTGTCTGCTTTTATACTCAGGCTTCCATCCTCGATTACGCATTTCCACGCAATCTCGGTGGGCATCAAAAATGCTCCGTGCAATTGCTAATGCCCCCTGGTATGTTTGCAATGAAATAATTCACAATGATCTTGGTATCCCATTTGTCACCGACACTATTCGGGGAAGAAGTGGAGGATATCTCTCCAGATTGGATGAACATGTAAACCCACTTCTTCAACCACTTCTCAAGGAACGAGGAAACAGAAGACTGAAGAGAAAATGGCCCATTGATCTCAGATGAGGCTTAGGAGGACTGTTTATTGGGGAAGCCCTCATCACGTTATGGATTGAACCTCGCGTTAAAGTTCGTGCACACCACATCAGCCCATAGAATATGTATTTCTGATAGCTGATTCAATAAATATAAATATAAAAAAAAAGAAAACAAATCTCGGTGGGCCAGGTACCTCAAACACTCAAAACGCGTTCGTAAACTTTCGCTCGCTTCTCGCACTCGATTCTGTCAAAAATATCCCTTACAATCGATCCTCTTGCACACGGTCAGTTCGTTCTATGTCCCAAGATTCTTTCAAGGTCGCACACGTTCCATTCCTACATACACACGTAGGGATACTGTTTGATTGGCAAATATAAAGAATAAGAGATGTTATTTTATTCTAAATTATATATTTATTACGAACTAAATGAGACTAGGAGTAGCTGGTGCACAGTGGGCCAGGAGCACACCAAAACTAGTCAAAAATCAAGAAGTGAGGGGATTTTTGTAAATTTTGGTGGTTATGTCCCGTTTTCGAGGTCGCTGATTCCGAATTTAGGGTCAAAATCATAAAATTCGTGTTATCAAATGCAATATGGCGAATTAAAATCAAAAATCAAATCAGGGAATGAGAGATTTGTATAAACGATGGTTGTATCCCATTCTTTGGGTCGCTAATTCTAAATCTAATAGCAAAATTTTTGAAATCTTAATCATGGATCCAATATAGCGGATTAAAATTTGAAAACTTTTCATGTTTGCATAGAGATGATTTTGGAGATTCAGATTATACGCCTAAGCAGATTCTAAATTCGAAATATGAATTTTATAAAAATGGACAGAATATGTTTAATCAAAACATGACATTGCTGTCATTTATATGAATTGTATCAAGTGCATATACCAACTGTTTAACGATTTTTAAGACGTCTGCGACCAGTCTATAAGACCGTACTTACGAACAGATTGCAGTGCGATCTTAGATTCCGTTGAGGTGTTTAATTATAGCGATTCTTCTTGCTTCACACTAATTCGTCGTTGTTTCAGCTGAGGATCAAGGTGTCGTCCGAGTTCAAAATACTCTATAAGGACCCCTGCAGGCTTATTGTGAGTCAAATCCCAAAATCGTTGCCCAATTTCGTTAAAATTAGGTATAGAATTGCTTCTGGTATCCGGTATTAAATGCCTTCAAATACAAAATGACGACATTGTAAATAATTCGTGATCTATTTTGCTCTCATCAAACCTCACGTGTTTGGTCGTTATTACATGTCATACTTCCGGGTGTCACAACCTGTAGCCTTTAAAGCGGCTACTGTAACCTATCATGATACATGTAGAGATACTGTTTGATTGGCAAATGGAGTCTATTGCCAGCTGTAAAGGGTCCGTCCGGAGGAGGTACTCTAATTGCTGTTGGGTCACTTCAGGTCGAGCTGAATATGATTATCCAGTCGTTGGTTCCGCAACCAGTGGCAAGCATCGGGGTGCAAGGGGACGATCCACTGGGTGCCAAGGGCACCATCGTGAAGGTGAGGTGAGTGGTCTTGACCGATGGAGGCCTGCCAATTTCGACGGATTATTGGTAATTTCAGCACCATCGTGATTTTCGATCGTGCACCAAAGTCAGAATCCACCACTACAGAACCAATCGTAGCTCTCAGACAGAGAATGACACTGAGATAGAAGAAAATTTTGACTTTTGGCCAATTTTGGTAGGCTCCTGGCCCATTGTGCCCACCAACGGAATAAGTATTGATTGGAATATTTGTGGGAAAAAATTAGCCAGTAAAAATTCTTTGATGTATCATAAAAAATCCATTGATTCTTCATCCAAGCCAAACATGCATCGATACTGTGGAGATTAGTTTATTACAAAAGATGTATAGTCGGGGCCAGAATATATCTAGGAAGTAAAATCGGGCAAACATCGAAGCAAACGTGTTTTCGCTGCCGAAACAAACGAATTGACAGAAATACGAGCACTCGAGGGCCATAGACCACAGTTAGGGCCATACGAAGATAAGTTCTATCCAGTGTCGAAATATTCCGTAATATTCTATAATACAGGGAACGCCATTTTTAGAGGTTCCATTACAGGTAAAGGTCTTACTCGATTCTTTAATATCTTAATTTACCTGCTCATAATATATGCAGGTAAAAAAAGAAAAAGGTAGTGCAGTTACGGACACAGAAAGGCTATAAATATTTCAGATAGTGACTAATATTTATACGTTTTGTATTTCCGATTTTTAAGAGTTTAATTTACGAACTCGATATATCGTGCCTCGAACTTCTATACGAAAGAATACGCACTGAAGAACGTCCTTGTGTTTGTAAAATATGTAAAACTGTATACAAACATTGACGCAGCCTCAATCAGCATATGAAGCTTCATTCAGAACTCCAATCTTATTAATGTTCGTATTGTAATAAGAGTTTCACACAAATAGGGACGTCAAATATACATTGGAAGATTCACACTAGAAAGAAACGGCTTGCGTATGACGTACAGTAAAAAATTTTCCTGCAAGAATGATGTATTTAAGCATACTAAAATGAATAATAGCAAATCATTGTTGCGCACAATGCGACAAAGTTTTCAGGAAAAAGAAAGATATCCTAAAGCATGTTGCCTTGCACGGGAAAAATAGTTCTACAATTGAGGAATACGTAGACGTACAACAAGAAATAACACGTTAATATATATGTTAATATACCATGCTATGGAATTGAATAATTTTTGCTATGGACGAACCGAAATAAATGTAAAGTACTAATACTGTGTTTATAGCAATTTTACAGCAAATGTATGCGAAATAATGCATTACTTTATACGATCAACTTGTTCATAGAAAGATTCTATTTTTTTAACTATTGTATAAAATGTAAATACGAATTACTTTGCAGATCAGTTATTCATAAGCGTAATATTCAGTTACCATTATTATTCAATTATAATTATATGGTTCATAGTCCAATTAAAATAGTAAATGGTAATATTACCTTCTGTAGTACCACACAGATTTTTTAATAGTATATTAAAACGCGAACGTGATTCAATTTAAATAATTATTCTATTAACACTGAGAGTTCTGTATTAAATAACTCAAACGTAAATTATGTTACTAGAAAACATTATTATTATCTTTGATGAATAAAATTAATATAAAAACTTTTACGACTATAAAATATCGAAATGAATATAGTATGCGACAAAAGATATATAGTATGTATACAATATGAACACCCTTTAGTTTTCAGTGTTTCTTGAAACCAATAAATATATGCATATGTTACATATGTTTTCACATGTGTCCAATTCTCAATAATACGGAGAAATATTCACTACACTTTACATTTATTTCTTCCAATTGTGCTTATTTATTTGTGGAAAATGGCTGCGACAAAATGTTAAGCAAAAACTGCTTACCATCTTAGGTTCATGAAATAAGCAAATAAAATATAACGATTTTTCCAATATTTCCGAAAATATTCTGAAGACAGTAATTTTTGTCTAATATCTTTACTACAACAGCTTTGCGCAGTACTAACCCACCCCTGTAAAATTATAGTGTGCTATCATTTTGTCGTGTACTGTGTAAACCATTATCCAACACGGTATATAACGATTAATTCATTCTTAATTTTCTAAACAGCTGCAACGATATATTGCATTTCTATACATAGATAATATATTATGACAGCATCAACATTGCAAATTTGACGGCATTGTATTCGCTGAATTCTTTAACATCGTAATTATCATTTCAAAGTACTATATTCGTAAGGCATTGTCTATAAAAGATCCATGATTCGAACTGCGATGCCTTTTTACACTTAAAGGCATATCAGAGAACATTATATCTTCATTAACATAATTTTGATGAAATTGGAATGATAAAATTGAGAAAAAATTAAAAGAGTGCGAATAAGTATTATAAACAAATAGATATAGAATAATCGGGGAAAAAAGTGCTAAAATGAAGGACGCGAACAGGACTCCACATCCAAACGACGAGAGAAGTTCAGCGAACAACTGCAATGGTCAAATACGACAGTTTTATGCTGGCAAGCATGTATTACTTACAGGATGCACCGGTTTTCTGGGCATCGTTGCTGTGGAGAAAATCTTACGCACGTGTAAAGAAATTAGCAAACTTTACATCATGATTAGGCAAAAGAAAGGTATATCGGTAGAAGAACGGCTAAACCATTTCCTTAAAAATGACGTAAGTACCATAATTCCACAATAAAGTGAAAAGGAAATTAATACATTATAGTAAAAACTTAGTCGTGCTTTTCTCATTGATAATTTTATATCTAACGACCAAAGATTAAAATTTTAACTGCTTAATAACCATTTGCGCAAGTATATCGTTACGGGAAGAAATAATTCACTTGTCATTTTCAGATATTTGATAAATTGCGCGAAATGAACCCTAATTTTATGGAAAAGATCGAGGTGATTTACGGCGACTTGGAGAAAGAGGACTTAGGCTTCTCACCAGAAGATCGTCGTCGTCTCGTAGAGAACGTGAATGTAATAATTCATAACGCATCGATGGTGTATTTTGTGGCGAAAGTGTCTCGCATTTTACGAACAAACGTGATTGCCACGCAAAAGCTGCTCGAACTAGCGAGAGAATGCCGTCATTTAATGGCATTCGTTTATGTTTCGACTGCTTATTCTCATCATTACAATCAAACGATCGAGGAGAAATTTTACCCGCCACCGGCCGATTTGAAGCTGATCAAGGATTTGATACGTGCTGACGAAGAGAACGCAGCTGGAGTTACCAAGGAAGTGGTTCAAAGCATGGTAGACAAGTGGATCAACATTTACAGCTTTAGTAAAGCTACCGCTGAAGAATTGGTTCGCGATTTTGCTAGAAAAACCTCGTTACCCTGTATCGTCTATCGGCCTTCAATAGGTATGATAAGCGAGTTAACATATTATTCTGAATTTATTTTCATGCGTACCTCTTATTACTAACAAATATTGAAATGCGTTATTACCCAGAAACCCAGAGATATCGACAAGAGCTGTTTTTAACACGAATCATACAGTTACAATTTATTTATACTTACTTTTAATTTAATTGTAATCTGTGACATAATCATCGAATTCCTTCGAAATCCGTTGGTTATTCGAGGTAGTCGAAGGTATAATTCCTTTCACCATTACACTTCTTTATTATTTATGGATTAACATTTCAACATTAATCATATCTATATTTTTAATGTCATAGAATAATAAGGTAAATTTTCGTATCGAATGCATTATTTATTTAATCAACAGTTATATCGACATACAAGGAACCAATTCCATGGATTGGAAACAAAAATGGTCCAGTAGTATTGATATCAGCAGGCATGAATGGTTACTTACATGTGTTGTATTGGTATGAGCACGTTACTATTGACATGATTCCGGTTGACATGACAATTAATGGCCTTTTGGCAGCGATTTGGGACTTTGTCGTGAATAGGTAATGTATCTTTTTTTTATCGTATGTACTGAAATAAATTAAAGTTTACAGCACATTGCTGCCAAAATGGCACAAAGAGGTCGTAAAATGAATTATCTGTGTAATTTATGTACCGTGACGTACGGATTATGAAAATTAATATATCTACTTTTTTGTACAGGAAATCGAATGAACCACAAGTATACAATTATGGAAGTTCCGATTGGAATCCACTTAAAGTCTTTGAAGGATGTGCACAGGGTATAGAAATTCTACGTAAGAATCCTTCGGTTAAAGCGGTTTGGTACCCGTTTTTCATTTGTTCTAACAACATTCTCGTTTTCCTTCTGCTTCATACACTTTGTCATGTTTTACCAAGCTTATTTATCGACTTATTCCGTTTACTACGGGGAAAGAAACCAGTGTAAGTATTTTGAATTTTTTTCTACGAATTACAGAAGTATTAAGTTCCATTTTAATAGAATTAATGAAATTATTTAAAAACCAACATTAGAAATTAGTTCAATTGTTAATATATTACAGATTGACCTATAAAACTTACGTTTATTTTTGCAGACTTGTAAGAATATTGTTCAGCGTAACAAAAAATTATAGATTACTGTCGTATTTCGCACGCTCCGAGTGGATTATCAAGGCGGATAAACTCAAAGAAATTCAAACTAGAATGAACAAAGTCGATTTGGAAGAGTTTCCTTGTGATTTAGGATCAGTGGACTGGTATAAAGGTATAGAAAGATTTTTAATGGCTTTACGAAAACTGCAGAATGAACCACCGTACGCGAGTATCGAGGCAAAGCGGAAGAATCGAAATTTGATGATATTACATTACACCGTTTGCGGTTTATTTGCACTTTTTTCATTGTACATTTTTTATACCATAACGAGCAGTTTTATTTCGTTCCTATCAGCATAATTAGTACAACGCAGACTTTGTTATTCCGATACCGAATATTCCCCTGTGTAATTAATGAAAATTAATTAAAATTTAATTGTATTTATGTATTGAAATTTAATAACTATGCGAATACGATTTAATAACCGTTTGAAGTATACTAAGTAATTTTATTATCTTTTTTTTAAGATTCTCTTTTCGGTAAAGTGATACCTAAGTTAATTAATCATTCCACAATCATTCCACAATAGTTGATTTCTAATGCGTGAAAATGTTAAATGGGAATGATAAGTGAAGAATTGCAAAATATCGTAGCACCGTTAATTTATGTAGAGTACTCTTTATTGTTCTCTATCGTGTGTCATACACTTACATCTTTAGGTTAATAGATTCTGTGCTGCATTTGATGTGTTGCATTGTTTCCGTTGCTGCTGGCTTTTTCTTGCTTGATACTTTGGTAAAACGGTACGCGACCCAACGACATAACTTTTCGAAACAAGATATGAGAATCGAACGCAGAATAAGAAATCTCAACGTGTCCGACCTCTCGAGAACCGCGCATTTTTGAAATAATGCATACGCCCATTACTTAGGATTAAAGTAACTGCGATTCCTGTTTAGTGTTTTTCGTTATTACATTTTCCTTCGTTTTCGTTCCAATTGAGAAGCACGCGTGCAAAATGACGAGTCGCGAAGACGCGTTACAATTATACTCGTGTATCGCTTTCTCATTTGAGTTCTCTTTTCAGAATTACTGCGAGAAATTCCCAGTTATTGCCACGCTTCCCCTTTTATCCCTTTGTTTTCGTTTATCCACGGTCAGTGCATTTTGTCCGGGTTTTCCTCTTTTTCCTTTTTCTTCTTTTCCTGTAGACGCAGGCCGAAGACACGGTACGAATTGCGATCAAATGATCGGTACACAGCCCGTATTTACAACTGTTCATCTTCATTGCACGATGTTAAAAAAATGTCATTTTTGGCACTATCTGAGAATGAAAAATACCTTTATCATCTGTCACTGTCGGCCCAAAACTGTGACGAAGATCATCGGCAAGTCATAGCAAGAGCGAGTGAGATAGTAGGAGAGATAGGCGTAGTCTTTGAAGCTATTAACACGTTGGTCGCCCAACGCGATTCGGTTGAGTTTCTCGCGGGGCGCAAATCCTACTATCGGAGCGCTAGAACGTTATCGGACTGATGATTTGGATGGGTCTAGTACAGGCACTGCTCGTTAGATGTTGGTCAATGGACCCTCTTTACAATTTTCTATTTCCTGTAATCGTTTTGAATTACTATCAGCAAACTTGCATTTGCATGCAAACGATAGAACAAAGTGGCAGTCTTGGTAAAGTTTTACTAGTCATAAACATATTGACAGACAATTACGAAAAATGTAAAAGAACTACGACCTATTGTTCCAATTGTCCAAAATCACCTCAAATGTATTTAGACTGTTTTAACGAATACCATACGACATGGTATAATGTAATATTTTATCCTAAATATAAATTAATAAAAGGTATAGTATAATGTGTATATTTCTCATATTTTTATGTTGTATATCCTATATTTATAATTCAGTGCTTATTGCATTAAATTCCTTTTAAAAAACCGGCTGAAAATCCTATTTAACTTCAACAAGAAGAGCCTCACCCATATTTGGGTGACGGGGCCCCCACGGAATTTTTTGCCCAACCTAAGGCGAGGTTTGCAAGCGGCCTCAACAAGTAAGCGGGATATTCTCACGAAGGGTTCGAACGGTAAGGCCCTCTTCACCGGTAACGCAGGTGATCAGCTTCAGTCCTGGACCCGCCGGTTTTTAGCTGTCCACCCGTCGGTCGCTTGGGTTGATCTCGCAAGAGTAGTGGTTAGAGTCTATATCGGAGGCGAGTGGCCATTGTGACATTGGCGGGTGAGCTACGCTTCGTATAGCTTGGTTACCGTGCTTCACAGACGGTTGGGATTTAGAAAGGTCCCGCCCCGACCATTGGTGCCAAGTGGGACTTGCATACCACGAGTCAATTGGTAGTTCCACGTGCAAGGAGAGCACCGGAACGCGCTGATCGAGCGTATCTCAATCCCGCACCCATGGTGGTCGAGTGGATGAGTCCCATGGGGAAAGTGCCGCTCGTTAACACATTGAGCCCCGCGTCAATTCCTGGGGACCGATAGTGGAGTATTCGTTTGGATAGCGTCGGTCAATCGACCGACACTATCAAAACTAAAAAATAAATGTGATAACTTCAATGAAATCTATTGAAACATTCTATACAAAAATATCCTCTGTTTTTGCATGTATTACAAAATGTGATGACTTTTTTAGTCAAATTTCTGGCTCTCTTGCGTCCGTATAGCGTTCAATTTTTCTTGTAACATCCCGAACAATTTCTTCGGATTTTGTGAACGTCTCCTTTTTTTTGTAATTGGTGAACGATTCTTCTTTCAATACGCATAGGAATCTCTTTGTTTATTGTAGCCGTCTTAAATATCGGCCAAGCTCTCGCCGTTGTGTTCGCTCGCTGCGGGCTGAACGGAAAGGACAGCAATGTCGGCGCGGGGCTCAATGTGTTAAATCTCTGACACTCGTTGTTCATACTTGCTTATTACCACGTGTCACGTAACCAGTTTCTTTTAACGGCACCAGGCGGTCGATATGGCTGTCAAATTCGGAAAATATTGTAATACTAAGGAATACCTTTCGATCGTGTGAGCTTTGTTGATTAACCGTTCAAGGCGCAACTAACAAGTTATTATTGTAATCCTTTTGCAGCAGGGTAAATAATAAAAGATCGTTATTTTCAAGCATCAATTATCTATTAGAATCAATAAAATTTACAATATAATTTAACATAAAAATAAGGAACAAAAACTAAACGCAATAAGTAATAATCCCGAACAAATTATATTGTTAATATTGGTATACGTATGCTATAGTGTTAATACTTTACTAATGATATTCAGAATAGATATACAAATGAATAAACCGGTCCTCGCGTCCATTATTTGTTCCATCATTTGTCTTTTTTTACTGCCGTTGCTGAGAAACACATATGTATATTGTCTTGGATAAAGTTACATGTTATACTATTGCATGAAAGGCCGAAAAAATTGAACAACGCATATATGCGTTATATATCGTCCCTGCTGGTGACCTTCGCCGGACGCATATATGCGTCCACAGCACTCTAAGGATTAACTCAAGGGTGAAGCCAACAACACTATCTTAAGTCAATCCACCCAAAAACGATCCTACATAATTTTTTACAATCAGAATTATTGTAAAAACATGTCGTAATTATTTTACAATCAGAACCCATAATCCCTATAGCACGAAATAAAGCAGAAATTAAATCTAGGGATGTGAAAGTGCAGGCTATGCTATTTGTATTGACCCTTCAAATATTATCGTAGGATTGTTCCTTACAAACTTATGGCTGTTCATATATCAACGTAGCGTAGATTCAATTTGGCTCTTCAGCGTGTGTTATATTTCATATGTGTGCAGATTAAGGCAAAAGTTTAAATTTGTTAGGCAACGTCTTCTATGTCAAGGGGGGTTTCTCCCACGTTGCTTAAGTAATCGTTTATATCATTTCTCAATCTTTCAGTCTCTGCGGGTTCTTCCACCAGCTCCTCTAACCTGGAGCATCTAACATTTCTCAGGTACATCGCCAATTTGACTAATAACGATTTGGGTTGCGATGGTTCTTCTACCGGTGTACAAGGCTCAGGATTACAGTGGCTTCTGATATTAAATAAGTCGTTCGTGTGTAGACGTCCCAACTGCAATTTCCTTCGAATATGCGACAAGCCGACGTAAACACAGTTGCTTCTTTTTACATCGATGTTCAGTTCCATTTTATTCTTGTCTTCAGTCGTGTGTCCTTGTAGACTGTGATACATTCTTAATCTTAAACGAAGTGGATACTGGTATGGCACACCTTCGCAATTATATTTCAGCCAATTGAACTCCTCGGACACGCAGTAATCCGAGGTTATCTTCTTCAGGCCTAAATTCATTCTCAACCCGTCTTCTACGTCTTCTACCAGGATCTCTTTACCACTTCTACCAATATATTTAACTAGATATCTATTTCCTTCAGGTGTTATGTAATAATACGTATAGCCTTCGATCAGTGGCAGAAATTCTAGAAACTGTTCCCTTAAATTGTACTGTTTGAGCAATTTAATGCTAATTTCACGCAAATCGGCATCGTATTCATCCTCAGAATAATATGGACTTTTATAGCACCCGGTACTATTATTTTCGTAATACTCGCATATATTATAGGCACGTCTATATAAATCCTCGTGCTTTCTGCCAGGTACGTAGCAGTCATATCCGTGTGCACAGAGAAATAGTCCTCAAAGATTCTGTATAATTCGTATTTGATCTCCAAGGTCATGTCCAAATCATCATTTGATCTTTCCAGGATGACCTTAAATTGATTCACCTTATTCTCGTAATTCTCGTCTTGAATTCGTAATTGATCCATGTCGAAAAATTTGGGACCGGACAATGCTTCTACGATCGTGTAGTTGCTTTCATTATGAAATCTGGACCTGTTCATCGAATTCAGCGCGTACCGATCGCCGCAATACAGAACGCAAGCACCATTTTGTTTAGCAATCCAATACACCCATAGCACGTACCAAGGCGAAACGACGGTGTATTCATCAAGGATGATTAATTTACATGAATATTTGATTTTTGTCCTAATAATTTTTTGAAATATGCTCAAACATGCAATATCTTTCACAAAATAGTTTCTCGCTTCAGAAAATTCCATACGCAAAAGTTCCATTAAATATTTCGTGCATGTATAAGCACGTATACCCCGTATCGATTCCGCGATGAGCCTCAAGTTCCGTTGGTCACCAGAAACACGACATCCTTTCTGTGCATTGTTATCAGCAGAGACATCAGCAACCATGTTTTCGCGGTTCCAGATGGCGCGTCTAGTAACATCGCCATCGTGCCAATATCTCTACTAGTAGTTCGAATTCGCTGGCCTATTGTTTGCAAGAATCCCCTAATGGTGGTCAGTTCTAGAGCAGGATATATAGCAGGATTTCCTAATACGCTATGAATCTTATCGAACACGTAACGTTGGTTCTCCTTTAATAACCCGTACACTATCCGATTAATACGTGCGTTTCTTTCGTCGATAGTTGAACGTTGAGGATATGAACATGACACATCATTCACTTGTAGCACCGCCAGCTCGCTGTCATGCCATTTTGATATCTGGATCAATTTTCTGATGTCGGAGTCCTGCATTTCTTGTTTCGTATCGTCTGTCTCGATCGAGTGGAAATCTGTGTGGATCTTTAAGCGAAACGTGAAGATAAAAATGAGTTCGGAACGTACGCTATTTCGCAGTCTCCTGTTTTAAAAGTAATCGAGTACTTCCTGCTCTAGGAATTTCGAAAATTGACTTGCTCGATCACACAGAAAAATAGGATCTGCACGCGACGCTTGTAGTAGGCATACTAACTAACCGAACAGAAGGAATTAATTAGTGGAAAAGTAATCTAATCTGCAATATATCAGATATATGACGCATATCTTTTATAACATTCTTATACTTTTATAGAGTACAAAGTCCAAGGTACTGTCGCAAAATAATGAGTAGGCGAATCGAGCAAAAAGACATGAATGTAACTCAGACTCGAGAAAAATTAAAAAGAAATCATAATTAATGCAGTATCAGTATTTGAAAGCAATATCAGTGGTTAGAAATCGTATCAGACCGAATAATAAAAAGAAACAAGAAAAAGATAAGTGAAGATAGCGATGATATTGATAACACGAAAGAAGTTGGAGCATCATCAAGTTTCTCATCTGTATAATTCGTTTTTACGTATTAATTACCTATTATTTAGCCTTTACTACTTTGGAATGGTAATACAAAAAATGCCGAGGAGAAGATTGAAATTTTAATGATCCGAGTAATATTGAATATTTGAAATAATTTTTGGCTCGGTGTAGACGGAGTGTTTGTCAAGATGTAATTAATACTTATATGAGCGATAGGTTTTGTATTTCCTATACGTAATGATTATTTATATTCTTGTATTCCTTCTGTAGTAAATATAATTGCTATAGAAAATTGTTTTCCTTGCATTTTATTCTGATGGTTTTGTAACAAATGTATACTAGCATAAGAAATCGTAGAAAATAAATATTTTTATGAAGAAATTTGATTTACAATTGTTTACTTATAATGTTTTCATAGGCGAAAAATGAATACAAAATGAAAAATAGATTGAAGAAAAAATTCAAATAAAGACGGGGGAATGGAACTTCGGACCTTCAGCATAGGAACTTTGCCGTTAGGCCACAACATCGTTTTAAAACTGTAGAAAGAAAATCTGTAATGAAAGAAGAAATAAAACTTTAAAACTTTAATTGTAAATATCTAAAAAATTATTGAGTAGTGGCGGGTATAATGGTATGTATTCTTGGACTGCATGACGAAATCTACAAACCTACAAAGTTTCAATTAAATCGGTGACCCGAAGGTTTTGCACTCTCCTTGTAAGTACTATCCGCACCCAATGCAGCCCTTTGGCAATCGGACGAGAACCAGTGTTTTCTACGTGGTATGGTCGTTGACAAAAACGAGTATATTCTTTGTACTTCAAAATCGATGTTCTAATAAAAATTTGTAATTGTTCAATGGGGCACTTTTTATTTCGAAGTATCTTCTAATTAGCGGTTATATTCAAAATGCACTGTCAATTTTCATTAAATGTAGTTCAAGTCATCCAAGCACTCCTGTCACCAATGACCACCGCGGCAGTCAAAGTGTTAAAGGAGTATTCTAGTCTAGAACTGTCAAAAAATCAATTTCGTTTTTATTTCATTTTCTGATAGTATATGTCATTGAAAATATTTCTATCAGTGGATATTACTGGATTTGAAAAATTAATGAAGTTATTAGCATTTGTTCATAGCGCGCGACGCGTACACAGCTTCATATGAAAAACTTTAAACGCGTTTTTCTCGAAACCATTTTTTTCCAAATGGTTGCCATGATATCTCGAATTTTGGTTGACCGATTGCTCGCAAATTTGGAGGGTATCTTCATCACATGTATGTCTATCATTAGTACTGACATTTTTGACACGCTAAAGTTGAAAAAAGCACAAGAAATCGATAACCTAACTTTAAAGTGCGTAAAAATTTCTCTTCAATGTTTTCGTACGCTTTTGGTACCGATGATAGTTGCGTTCATACTGAACGGAATGGATGTTTGTCCATTTCGGAGTAGAACACCCGGAATCATGGCAACCGTGCAGACATGTCCAATCGAAGGGACACTACTAAACTAGCTGTAACTTCGACAGTATTCAATATTTCTTCCTTTTGTTTCCTGAAAAGTTCAGTCTTAAATCCAGTACAGTACAGAGAGCATTAATTATCGCAATTTATAAAGAAACGTACATTGGTTTTGTATTTCCTATACGTAATGATTATTTATATTCTTGTATTCCTTCTGTAGTAAATATAATTGCTATAGAAAATTGTTTTCCTTGCATTTTATTCTGATGGTTTTGTAACAAATGTATACTAGCATAAGAAATCGTAGAAAATAAATATTTTTATGAAGAAATTTGATTTACAATTGTTTACTTATAATGTTTTCATAGGCGAAAAATGAATACAAAATGAAAAATAGATTGAAGAAAAAATTCAAATAAAGACGGGGGAATGGAACTTCGGACCTTCAGCATAGGAACTTTGCCGTTAGGCCACAACATCGTTTTAAAACTGTAGAAAGAAAATCTGTAATGAAAGAAGAAATAAAACTTTAAAACTTTAATTGTAAATATCTAAAAAATTATTGAGTAGTGGCGGGTATAATGGTATGTATTCTTGGACTGCATGACGAAATCTACAAACCTACAAAGTTTCAATTAAATCGGTGACCCGAAGGTTTTGCACTCTCCTTGTAAGTACTATCCGCACCCAATGCAGCCCTTTGGCAATCGGACGAGAACCAGTGTTTTCTACGTGGTATGGTCGTTGACAAAAACGAGTATATTCTTTGTACTTCAAAATCGATGTTCTAATAAAAATTTGTAATTGTTCAATGGGGCACTTTTTATTTCGAAGTATCTTCTAATTAGCGGTTATATTCAAAATGCACTGTCAATTTTCATTAAATGTAGTTCAAGTCATCCAAGCACTCCTGTCACCAATGACCACCGCGGCAGTCAAAGTGTTAAAGGAGTATTCTAGTCTAGAACTGTCAAAAAATCAATTTCGTTTTTATTTCATTTTCTGATAGTATATGTCATTGAAAATATTTCTATCAGTGGATATTACTGGATTTGAAAAATTAATGAAGTTATTAGCATTTGTTCATAGCGCGCGACGCGTACACAGCTTCATATGAAAAACTTTAAACGCGTTTTTCTCGAAACCATTTTTTTCCAAATGGTTGCCATGATATCTCGAATTTTGGTTGACCGATTGCTCGCAAATTTGGAGGGTATCTTCATCACATGTATGTCTATCATTAGTACTGACATTTTTGACACGCTAAAGTTGAAAAAAGCACAAGAAATCGATAACCTAACTTTAAAGTGCGTAAAAATTTCTCTTCAATGTTTTCGTACGCTTTTGGTACCGATGATAGTTGCGTTCATACTGAACGGAATGGATGTTTGTCCATTTCGGAGTAGAACACCCGGAATCATGGCAACCGTGCAGACATGTCCAATCGAAGGGACACTACTAAACTAGCTGTAACTTCGACAGTATTCAATATTTCTTCCTTTTGTTTCCTGAAAAGTTCAGTCTTAAATCCAGTACAGTACAGAGAGCATTAATTATCGCAATTTATAAAGAAACGTACATTTTTTCTTTGTATTTGCATAAGTGTGTACACATATTTAACTAATAATGAAATTTACATATTCGCTAGTATACAATTGTATACGCTGTCCGCATTCTCTCGCTAGTTCGAGCAGCTTTTGCATGGCAATCACGTTTGTTCGTAAAATGCGAGACACTTTCGCCACAAAATACACCATCGATGCGTTATGAATTATTATATTCACGTTCTCCACGAGACGACGACGATCCTCTGGTGAGAAGCCCAAGTCCTCTTTCTCCAAGTCGCCGTAAATCACCTCGATCTTTTCCATAAAGTTAGGGTTTATTTCGCGCAATTTATCAAATATCTGAAAATGACAAGTGAATTATTTCTTCCCATAACGATATACTTGCGCGAGTGGTTATTAAGCAGTTAAAATTATAATCTTTGGTCGTTAGATATAAAATTATCAATGAGAAAAACACGACTAAGTTTTTACTATTATGTATTAATTTCGTTTTCACTTTATTGTGGAATTATGGTACTTACGTCATTTTTAAAGAAATGATTTAGCCGTTCTTCTACCGATATACCTTTCTTTTGCCTAACCATGATGTAAAGTTTGCTAATTTCTTTACACGTGCGTAAGATTTTCTCCACAGCAACGGTGCCTAGAAAACCGGTGCATCCTGTAAGTAATACACGCTTGCCAGCATAAAACTGTCGTATTTGACCATTGCAGTTCTTCGCTGAACTTCTCTCGTCGTTTGGATGTGGAGTCCTATTCGCGTCCTTCATTTTAGCACTTCTTTTCCCCGATTATTCTATATCTATTTGTTTATAATACTTATTCGCACTCTAATTTTTTCTCAATTTTATCATTCAAATTCCATCAAAATTATGTTAATGAAGATATAATGTTCTCTGATATGCCTTTAAGTGTAAGAAGGGATCGCAGTTCGAATCATGGATCTTTTATAGACAATGGCTTACGAATATAGTAGCTTGAAATGATAATTACGATGTTAAAGAATTCAAAGAATGCAATGTCGTCAAATTTGCAATGTTGCATATCACGTTCTCGTTTTAATATACTATTAAAAAATCTGTTTGGTATTACAAAAGGCAATATTACCATTTACTATTTTAATTGGGTTATGAACTATAGAATTATATCTGAATAGTATTCTTGTAAATAATTCATCTACACAGTAATTTATATTTACTTTTTATGCAATAATTACAAAACTAGAGTCTTTTTATTAATAAGTTAATCATATAAAATTATGCGTTATTCTGCATACATTTCGTGTACAATTGTGTCATTAGCACAGTATTAGTACTTTATATTTATTTCGTTTCGTCCATAGCAAAAATTATTCAAATCCATAGCATGTTATATTATCAGATTGTATTATTTCTTATTGCACAATATGCTTTAGGATATCTTTCTTTTTCCTGAAAACTTCGTCGCATACATATTTTACAGTTTTACATATTTTACAAACACAAGGACGATCTTCAGTGCGTATTCTTTTCGTATAGAAGTTCGAGGCACGATATATCGAGTTCGTAAATTAAACTCGTAAAAATCGGAAATACAAAATGTATAAATATTAGTCACTATCTGAAATATTTATAGCCTTTCTGTGTCCGTAACTGCACTACCTTTTTCTTTTTTTATCTGCATATATTATGAGCAGGTAAATTAAGATATTAAAGAATCGAGTAAGACCTTTACCTGTAATGAAACTTCTAAAAATGGCTTTCCCTGTATTATAGAATATTACGGAATACTTCGACATTGGATAGAACATATCTTCGCACGGCCCTAACTGCGGTCTATGGCCCTCGAGTGCTCGTATTTCTGTCAATTCGTTTGTTTCGACAGCGAAAACACGTTTGCTTCAATATTTGCGCGATTTTACTTCCTAGATATATTCTTGCCCCGACTCTACATCTTTTGTACTAAACTAATCTCCTCAGTATCGATGCAGGTATGGCTTGGATGAAGAATCAACGGATTTTTTATGATACATCAAAGAATCACTCTTTTTGTACTCACGCATCGATCCTTCTTATTCTTTATATGAGTAATTAGGATTTAAAGTAGAAATATTTTAATTAGCTTGCAAGTTTTAACTTTGGAAATTTATAATGTTTCTTTTAATTATTTGGGGTATGTGCAATTAAGAAATTATAAAAATAAAATTATACCCAGTATTTAAAGTTAGCGTGGAGGGAAATTTTAAGTAACTACTGAAATTTAAGTTTTTAATGTTCCAAATTATTTAAATTAAAATTTAAAGTTAAATTGTCAAGAAGCATAATATGATATGTGTGTTACATATGAATTAGAAATTAATATCAAAAAATTATTAAAAATTACATAGATTGCAGATTATTTATCGGAGAATTATAAAAGCATAGTTTTTATTTTATATGTTTTACATGTTGCACGTGCTGCGGGTAAGTGATTTTTTTTTGCACAAATACACAACTTATTTGGAAAATAGAAAATATACCTGCTCGGTGATTGAGGACAGAAGGTCAAACGGAACTGTCTTTCAGATCACGTATAAACACTTAATGTTATAAAGAAATAGGAACTTTCACATATTGCTAAAATTAGGGGCCATTTGAAGAATGTAGAAGCCTCGAGAAATTGAAAGGCCTTAGAAAGTAAGAAAGAAATTCAAATGTGCTCTAAGAACGTGATGTGACGTGAAAAGATCATTTCAATAATTTAGAAAAAATGAAATATATGATACATGCAAAATCTATTTGCTGTAATTTAAGTTATGGTATATTATAATAATTTTTTTCTAAATTTTAATTACTATACGTTTTTTTTTTTTTTTTTTTCGAAAATTTGACAGAGAAATCTTTGGTGGATTGAAATGACTTAGATTGCTAATAGAATTAGTGGAAAAGTATGATTATTAATGGAAGATTGAAGATTACGTGCATGTATACAGACACTAATATTTCAAGAATATCTCACAAACAAGGATGATCCAAAAACATTTAGCATCTAGAATGTCTTTGGAACTATGAGAGGAAAAGAAAAATCTTTCGAATAGAATTTGCCAAATATTAAAGGAGTCATAGTATAATTACGTCAACTGTTTGTGCTCCCCTTAGGAGATATGAAAGTCATTCCTATTTTTCTTTTTTAGCATTTCATTTTTCTATCTTTATCAGCTGATAACAGTTCTTAAGCTAAATATAAATACATAAACACGGTCTATCAAGATTATAGAAATGAAATTACATAATGTATTTACTTCTTTTATATGTTATGTTTCAAAGGATAGAATATCAGTACTAATTTCTTTAACACTAGAATTATCTATGTGTAATGTATATTTAAATATAGCGAATATGACTACAGATAATTATTACTCGAGTTGAACAATGGAAATAAATGAGTCTAATCGTGATTTTATTTCAATGAAAGTGAATAAAAATTTTATCAACAAATGCCTGGATATTACCAGTAATTACTGAAAATAATTATCAAAGAGTCAATAATTCGTCATTTCAATATAAAATAGTTGCAGTACTAATGTAGCAGACAATATTTAATCGATGTTTAATCAAGTACAAACATTTACTTTAACCTTCCGTTATATTTACTCGATTTAGCATTCTGTGGATGCTTCCCATTTCTATTTTTTCCTATTAAATTTCAATTAAATAAATTCGCTACGAAATGTTCCAATTTGAGTATCCACAATCATAGAAATAACCATGATGATTTAAGAGCAGATTTCTAAAAATCTCCCTATACTTGTTACGCGGTGCATATGGAATATCTTGCCTTGGCATACCTAATTGAGCCGTGAGGTCGGTATTTTTAAGGTTTATAACACGATCGTACAGTCAGACTATTTTAGAGTTGGACTTTAGGTATATTGGGGGCAATGAAACAAATGTTCTTTCAAATCTTAATCTTCTAAGTACGGCTGAATTTTACGCGAAGCGATTTCAGGGGACAGCAGAGTCTGACACGAACTACATGTAACATAGAGCACTAAAATGTGTGACAGAAAATGCTGTTCTCTACGCGAGTGTATTAAAATGAAGTTATCGATGATATAATTATAAATTTTCTTCAAATATATTACACATACTTTAACTTTAACGATTCACTTTAATAATTTTAATAAACTTGCGTATAATATTGTAGGATGGCGAATGCTGGTTTTGAGACACCGAAAATTGTCGAAAGAACGAGAACACAATAACGCAAACTCAAAATTCGTAAAATGATTTAACTTAGGAAAAGAACACCAAGCTAACGAAACGAAAACACACAAAGACGCATTCTTTTAAAACTCTCTTTCCAACACCAAGCGACTCATGCTTGTACTGGTCACAACCGATTTCTAAGGACTCTGTTTTGCTTGTCAAGGACCACGCTTTTATGCTTTCCTTAACCTATTCTTCACCTCCCCGTAGGGGAGTCAAGCAACTTAATTTTGTTATATAGAATAACTTTTCGATTTGCTTCTAGAAGATATCGATCGGTTTAGAATTTGTTTTTG